GCTGGAATATCAGCTAACCACTTCCATGCATCAGGATTTATACTTTTAATTTCTTCCATTATCAAATCAAACTTGCGAATCTGATGTGCTGCCCCAGCCTTCCACACTTGATCTTTCAAATACGTGTTATTGTAATGTGTGTTGAAATTGCTTTGTACATTTCATAGACAGAAACGATGATAGGCGTAAGGCTCATTCCACCCAGAATCTAGTTTCTTAACCGCTAAAATTATACCTTTATGTTGATCTGAGATTAAGCATATACCAGCTCTATTCGACACAACAGAGTAACATAGATGATTTAGGAACCAACTCCAGCTTTCACTAGTCTCCTCATGAACAAAGGCAAATGCTAAAGGAAAAATTTTCTTATGAGCGTCAATCCCAGTAGCAATAAGAAGCTTATGCATGTACTTGCCATTTACAAATATACCATCGATGCTGATTATAGGCCGACAATGAACAAACCCATCAATAGAAGCTTTGAATGCCCATAACACCTTTCCAAATATATTAAATTCAGGAGCATGAGCCTCATATTACCACTTTACAATCGTCCCAGGGTTGTATTTCACAAGAGCACCCATAAACTTTGGCAACATGTTGTAAGAACAATCCCAATCACTGAAAACCTTGGATATAGCCTTATTCTTCGCATTCCACACCTTCTTGTACGTTATCAAATAATGATACTCTTTTTTCACCATTTCAATGATAACAGGCATTGTTACATCAGGTGTAGCCCGAACCACAACCTCAATCCATTGAGAAATAAAACCTGCATCAAGCTGACAGTGGTCCAGGTTTAATCTTGGGTAGAAACAAGTGTGAGGTGCCTGATATTTTGTGATCTCAAACATTCCATGATTCGCCTTCAACACCGCCCGTAGCCTCCATTTGCATCCACATTGTGCATACATCTTGCACCTCAACACCCAACGTGTTTTATTTGTATCAACAATAACATATTGTTGGTGCATCTTAATTGAATACAATTTCACTGCCATCTCCAGCTCTTTTTTACTCCTGAACACCATACCCTTAGCCAGTTCTGGTCTTGTAGGATCCCATGTTTTAATTCCATGCAAAATGCATAAGCTGTCAACTTCATTCTGGTTTCCCGATTGAACGTTTGAGAAAAATGTTGACTCTGGCTCATGCAGAGGAACCTCACCATCATCCTCAGCAGAATTACCTTCAGTATCATAATCATCATCATCAGAGTCATCATTCAATAAATTTTTTGGCAACTCTTCTTCTTCGTAGTAATCATTCCGGTCATTAGCACACATTTCTTCATATGTATTATTATCAATCTGATGCAGTACAAGTGCTTGGACAGGGTCCACTGGTGCTGGTGTTGGGGTAACTGTAATCATTTACATCCCCTCGTTCCCAAGTCCAGCACTATACTCTTGCTGGGATGAGCTTTCGGGAAAAGTACTAGGCCCTGTTTCAGACTGTGCATGTGTATATCGATTGTATTCTTCCACACATTGCATTGTTAAAGGGGTGTAATAATTACCCACCATGCCTGAAGGGTCGAGCACTGGGATATATGGTTGTTGGCTGAGCATGGAAGTGTATGAACCAACATCAGGCCAACCTTCATTACTTCCACCAATGTAATCTGCCCTAACCTCTTCTCTAACATACAAATCAACTTTGTTAACACCTTGATTATCAAATACAACATCCATCATTGCCTCCACACCATCGTTGCAACAAATTCTAGTGGAATATATGTAAACAGGTTAGTTCCCAATTCAGTAGGAAACCTACAGATAAGTTTGAGATTTTATTTATTCCTTTCTATCCCCATCACATCATGCAACCTATCCACCAATGTCGAGTATGTTGTGTCATATGCAACCTTTATCACACGCTTATAACCATTATCGTATCGTAAAATATCATGGTTCTTGAATATGTTACCACCCCAATAAATCCTCACAGAAGCACGTCTTCTAGCTATTCTTAACAATTCTACAATAAATACATCAAAAGTTAGTGTGTATACACAACCAAAATTTTTGCTTTCATCGAAACTTTTGCTTGTTCATGTTTTGAAATGTAAATAAATCGAGTAGCCCATTCTAATTTTCAATCACCCAATATTAATGAAGGAGCACATTAAGTACATAAAATGGTTGGCACTTACATCAGGAAAGTAATCTATTAAGACTGCTAAAATATTTTGAAAATTTTACAAATTTAACTTGCCAAGCCACCAATAGAAACTTTTGTGTCCCTCCTAAATTAAATTCGATATGCTCCTGTCAATTAATACCTTAACTATTAGGACTCCAATACTATGCAAAGTAGACTACATTCATTCATTCAATCGTGACTGGTTTGGGGGGAAAAGATGGAAAAGTATAGAAAAAAAATCTAAAATTAGAGCACAAGAGTGACTAACTTTTACAGNCTAAATTAAATTCGATATGCTCCTGTCAATTAATACCTTAACTATTAGGACTCCAACACTATGCAAAGTAGACTACATTCATTCATTCAATCGTGACTGGTTTGGGGGGAAAAGATGGAAAAGTATAGAAAAAAAATCTGAAATTAGAGCACAAGAGTGACTAACTTTTACAGAGAATGCAAAAAAATTGAATTTGAGACCTTTGAATTACCAAAAGTCAAAATAAATATATCGAATAACTCCTAACAATTTTTCCATATGGGATTATACATTGAATTATTGTATACAAGTTAAACTAAATACCGAGGAGAGAGAGAGTAATTTGTTTAAAATAAATCATTAAGAACTGACTTAAACAAAATCTAGACTCACAATGGTTTTTGAGTAGAAAAATGCTACATAATCTAAATAGAACTCAAAAATTAAAATCCAAATGCATATTATTTGGATGGGTGAGTCTCATTGAAAAGATTGATGGAATCCATTCATCTAAGGGATGATATGCATTTGAGTTGTAATTTTTTGAGTTTTATTTGAGTTTTGTAGTATCATTCTTTTGAGTAATGTTAATCTGACTAAAAAAATGAAACAAAATTAGGGATCAAATGATATAGTGGTATTATTGATTTTACTTTTACACATTTGAAATTCAAACTTGTCTTATTATAATAATATCACATCATTTGATCTACATTTTTTACTTCCCTTTTTAGGTCGGCGTTTACTAATGATTTTTTTAACCGATGAAGAACTAGTAGGGTTTTAATCTTATAATGAGATGAGTATGATTTTAAAATTTAAATTAATCTTTATTGTTTTAGATAGAATTTAGAAAAAGATTTTTCTTACGGGCCTACCGCACTTGGAATGACGATTTCAAAATATAATTTTTTGTGTGCGATTGTATTTTGATTTCCTTGTTGAACATAAACACAATCACACCCCTTTGACTTATCACTTCTCTCAAATATTTCTTCTATTAATTGAAAAAAAACAAAAATGATATTGTCACTAACATTGTATTACTATCCCACAACAACTTTGGCGTCATGTCTATGGCATTTCACAGGTACAAAATAATGGCCTTATCGAAAAATCATGATTCAACCCCCAACTGATGAAAATGAGTGATAAATTATCTGGAAAACTCTCTACTTTAGTGATTGATCTAGGTTTAGAAATTTCAACTAATACAAAGAGCATGGGTTGGAGTAAGTAGACCAAATATTTAAGCGTCAATGCTCATGAAATGATCCCAAAAGAGTACAAATTACTTTGGTACTTATTTCTCAACAAGTATGCAGTCCACGAAAATAGGTGGGATTTAAAGCAACATCCTGGAGAACGAACATGGACCAACATGTAGTCCCTAACAACAGATTAGGCAAAGATACAACAATGGTAGATAAACTATGTATTTACAAATNTACAACAATGGTAGATAAACTATGTATTTACAAATGCAAACAGAGGGAAGTATAATGAGATAGAGGGAGTACAAGCAGCCTATTCAAAGTGCTAGGTTCCATCACACNAGATAGAGGGAGTACAAGCAGCCTATTCAAAGTGCTAGGTTCCATCACACTTCCATTTCGAGGTAAGGACACAGTTCAAGTAGTGACACCAGCTGCAATGTTCATTTCCATTGATGGCCTTGTTTCGCTATAGTTTACAGGTGAATGAAGTTCCATGTCCCAATATCTTAAAAAGTGACTAATAATGTCAAATGACCAACAAAATGAGTAGAGGCATTTGTAAACCACATAAAAGCAAATATCATATCACTTTGTCCAATTCTTTTCACCGACTTAGATGACAAAACGCAACAAAACCATAAAACATACGAATCTATGTAACCCCAGCCATAAAACCAAACAAATCTATGTAACCATAAAACCAAAGTCATTTGATGACAAAACCCAACAAACCCATAAAAGAAACGAATCGTAGCAAACCCATCTACATTATCAACATGAAATTACACAAATAGTACACAAAATTTCCAATAAATCCAGTGGTCATATCATTTAAGAACCAAAAATCCACCAAAACCATATAGCCGGATAAATGCATCTCGACAGTGTATACGTGTTGAAAATACTTTGTCCATTCACGATAGTGTATGGGTGTTGAAAATATTTTGTCGAGTTATATATTTTTAGAAATTTTGTCGTTATTTTAACGTAATTAAAAATAATGATTTTAAAAACGTCATTTTTAATAATGTTTTTAAAAAATAATATTCAATTAAAATTGTCATTTAAAATGACGTTTTTGCATACGTAAGACGTCACTGTAAATGACATTTTCAAAAAGAAGTTGAGTTTGAAAAATAAATTCAAAATTAACTAGGTTATGAAATTAAGATTTTAGAGGATTATATTTAAATCCCTTAAATTTTTAAATATATAATATTTAGGTCATTTAAATTTAAAATATTATGTTTAAAATTAATAACAAAATTAAGTATAATAATCTAAATTTGAGGGCACAATATCTGAGTCCGTGTATAACCCTTAATTATAATGGATTGGAGGACAAAAATATTTCTTATTGCTTATTTCAAACAACCATGGAACGAATGGAGAGAAAACCTAAGCTTCATCAACATCAACACAGTGAAATCACCAATGACGCGGGTCTTCCTCTCGATCTGATCATCGACATACTCTCTCGACTCCCCGCGAAATTCATCTGCCAATTTAGGTGTGTCTCCAAACTCTGGCGTGCCATTCTCTCTCCTCCCGACCCTGTTCTCCAAAATCTACATCGCAATCGCTCCAATTCAACCCCACTTTTGTTGTTTTTCTACAATTCATACCACTATATCTTCTTCTCTTCCTTAGACACACAAGGACAGTTGCAGAACTGGTTCACCAAGCAGATAGGAAGTCCAGTACAGTCAAGGAGGTTTTGTCAAGGTTTAATGTGTTTACTTTGTTCTGAACATGTCTATGTTTGCAATCCGAGCACCCAAGAGCTTTTACAAGTTCCATATTCAAGTAAGCTTTGTGACATTTATGATTTTGCTCTGGGGTTTCTGCCTTCCACCAACGAATATAAGATCGCGCATTGGTTTCTGGAAAGGGATAGAAATCTTGACATGGTGATGGTGTGCCAACTTTTTACTATAAAAGGTGGACCAAATTCTCATGGTACTTGGAGAGTCGTAGGAAATTCTCCTCATTTTCTCAGTGTTCGTAGACACCCAATCTGCGTGAATGGATCATTTTATTGGCTTGTCAATGGGCTCAGAAATAGTGGAAATTCCATGAAAATACTTGCTTTCGATTTGGCTACAGAAGAATATGAAACGGTTTTGTGTCCCAAAACTTATTCAGGCCGTTACGATGACACAGATCAGTTGTTATCAATAGAAGGGTCGTTATGTTTAGTGTACGGAAAGCAAGGGGAACCGCACATTGATATTTGGATGATGAAAGACCGAAAGAATCAAATTTGGACCAAGGAGTACAGCTTTGATATCTTCGCCACGAATAGACCTCTTTGGATTTTGCAATACATTCCTTCAGGGGATGGTCGTGATGAGGAAATGCTGATTTGGTCACAGAAAGGATGCCTTCTCTTCTACAACATTAAGACAAGGTGCATCAGAAATATGGGAAACTTAATCAATAAAAATATTGGCATTGATTTTGATATGGGGGTACACCTTTGGCCACATCTCTACTTCGACAGCTTATATTCACTGGGAGCTAGATAAATTTCTTTTCCTTGAAATGTATATGTTTGAAAATGTTGATGTTAAAATGCATGTGATTAGAAAGGAGTGTTGATAAACTCTCAATGCAGGCTGTTATATTCTGTGGCATTAATGTTAATCTTGGTAGGTTGTGAAGTAGTACCTCTCTTTTCACTCCCTGATTGCTACCATTACAAAGGCCTGCATAGCTAGGACATGAGTGCAATCATACGCAGCTTGTTAAAACCAAATTTGAAATTGTCAAATTTCGACATCAGCCACATTGATTATTGCATGTTATAAATTGTATGCACTTCATCACTGCATATTTCAACATTAACTGTAACCAGTTACTAAGTATACATATCCTGATGATTTCATGTGAACAATCAGGATAATCTTTTGAGACATTGTACTTCCCAAGTTCTAAGTCGAAATTTCCTTTTAAGATTTTTTTTTTCATGAAAATTGACAGAGATTCTCCCAATAGATATATAACACCCCCTAAGCTAATATGGGTGTGTTGTGGGCTTGTCCATCCATTGCCGTTTGGTTTTGAGTTGGATTATTTAACGTGTTATCAGAAAAGTGCACGGTATTATATATTGATTTTGTCTCTCCAATATTGTATCTACAGACTACCTAACAAGGAGGAACATAAAAAATGTTTGGTTTTAACACTGGAGGAAATCATCTTTTTAGATTTTTTGTGGTTTATACTAAAGCATAACATGACAACTCTTCAAATAGTCTGCTTCAAGACGAAAGTTTCACCTTCCAACCTTGGCTGCAAATATAAACACCTGTCCTTCTCATATCCTTAGAAATCAGACCCAAAATTTGAGTGAATCCTAGCTGTATTGCAATATTTGCATGAACCCTCCTTGCTAACCCAGCTGATATGAAAAAAGGAAGGATATGCTTGTTTGAGATGAAAGAAATTTGAAATTATGATTTTATATGAAATATTACATTTTTGAAATTTTCAATTCTTTAATTTCAATTATGAAGCTGAATTAAGTAAATCTATAACCTCAGCAATACTTTTGTCATATCTTAGATCACTACATCGCCCCTAGTGATGTTAATTATGAACAAGATGTTTTAGTATATAGTTTCTTTCATGGCATGATCTTGAAACAGCGCTTATTTTAGTTGTCACATTTTCATTCTTGTATTTTCCACAAGAACTCTTTTTCGTTATTTTTATTGTTGGAAGAACTGTCATAGAATATTTTTTGTTCTTTGACAAGGTTGTTAGCATGAATTTAAGTGTTGGTAATTGGTTTTGAATTAGATACACGTAGCACGTTCAACAAATCCTCTCATATCTTGATATAGGCTAGGATTAACACCTATGCCTCCGTAAATAATACATGTTAAATCAAAGTGCATACAAATAAATGCCCCCAAAAAGGTGTTTCCTCATTCTCTTCCTTCTAATATATGGGATGGATGCTAGATTATAAACCCAATTTTATTTGGGTGGTTTTGACGTTTTAAATTTAGGGTTGTTAAGTAATTTTTATGATGTTTTTGTCTTTTGTTGTAATTTGAGGTTGTTAGTGGTTTTTCCTTTGGATTGAAAGAGTCAGCAGGTGTCTTAAATAAAACTTGAAGGGGCAGCCACCTAGGTCTGTGAAGGGCTGCGCAAGTGAAGTCGGTTGGCTCTAAAAGACAAGACAAAAGCTGTGCAATTGCTGGCATTAGGAGGGGCTGGAAAATAAAGTATAAAATATGGCTGGATAGCTGCTGGAGAAAGGGGGAAAATTTTTGTGTTCTGGCAGAAAAATAGAGAGAGAAAAGAGGGTTTTTTCTGTAGAAAAAAACAGAGAGAGAAGTGAAGAGTTTCGGTAGGAAAAATATAGTAGAGAAACAGAGTCTTGGCGTGAGGAGCCGCAGCTCCATCCGTTGGTTTAAGGGCTGATTTTGTGAATGTGTTGCTGAAATTCTGAGATAAGTTTTTTTTTTNAATGGAAATAGAGGGATAGAATGAATACTAAAATATGTTGCAGCTGGGATTGACCACGTATAGTGAATCATTCAAATCACAAAAAAGGTGTTGGTCTGGACTATTCAATTGGTGTTGGTCAGGACATCACAAAACTGGTGTTGGTTGGTCTGGACTATTCAAATTGGAAAGGGACATTCAGATTCCACTTGTGTTGGTCTGGACTATTCAAATCACAAAAAATGGTGGTTCTTTTGTTATTCAATAGGCAAAACATCAAGCAGTCAGTTTAGTTAACAATCTAACCCACAAATGACCAACAAGTTCTAAGTAAAGTCTAAGCAAATCAATACACTAATATGATTGTCTATGTATGCATATAGTCCAAAAGTTTTAATAACACTACTTGAACAAGAAGAGGAAGAAAAAAAAGAAAGAATTTTTTAAGTGGGTTCGTGGAGGAGTGATCTTCGCCGTCGGAGTTAGCTGCCAGCGCTTGAGTAGACTTCGTCGGAGGAGTGGAGAGGGTAACTAAGAGATCTAGATTGATTGGAAAAGGGGATTGCGGATTTGGGTTGATTTGGAATGGGGATTTCGGATTTGGGTTTGATTGGGAAAGGGGATCTTCGTTTTTGCGCAAAGTCGTCGTTGGAACGGTCTTCGTCGACTAAGTGATCTTCGCCAGAAAAGTGCACTTCATCGGATTTACTTGCCTACGCTTGAGTGGAATTCGTCGGTAGGAATGGAGAGGATAACTGAGAGATTTGGGTTGAGGTATTTTCTGATACGGGTAACNCCTACGCTTGAGTGGAATTCGTCGGTAGGAATGGAGAGGATAACTGAGAGATTTGGGTTGAGGTATTTTCTGATACGGGTAACTGTCACGTATGGTTTGGTTAATTAGGACTTTTTTGATTTGGTAAAAGATATAATTCACATAAATCGTCATTTGTAATGAAGTTTTAGAAACATCTTTAAATGTTCGNAAAAGATATAATTCACATAAATCGTCATTTGTAATGAAGTTTTTAGAAACATCTTTAAATGTTCAATATATATATATATATATATATATATATATATGATTTTAAATGTTTTTATATATGTCAATTTAATATACATAAAGTTTTTTTAAAAAAGCATAAATATGAAGGGTTCCAAATCTTGAAAGAATAAATGCAGTACTGGTGTACCGTCCAGGAAAGCCGCTAAGATTCGGTGGATTCAACAATCTTTAACGGAGTCCACCCTGGAGATATCATTTTAAACCCAAGTTGTGGTGTGTACAAGCTGCAACATGCTCCTTAATATATTTGTAGCTACCTTCAGTAATATGAAACCTCTGTCTCCTCCTGGAGCCCATCTTTAACTCCTATACANTGCAGTACTGGTGTACCGTCCAGGAAAGCCGCTAAGATTCGGTGGATTCAACAATCTTTAACGGAGTCCACCCTGGAGATATCATTTTAAACCCAAGTTGTGGTGTGTACAAGCTGCAACATGCTCCTCAATATATTTGTAGCTACCTTCAGTAATATGAAACCTCTGTCTCCTCCTAGAGCCCATCTTTAACTCCTATACGAGCATGTCATTAAACAACTCTCCCACATAGCATATCTATTGTAGATATTGATAAGAGAGAGATTGCATCACGAGTAAGTGATGATAAGTGTTTAGTCGTCTAAGTAATATTTCATAAGTTTATGTTTGAAAATTAACTTGTTTGAAATGACAATGAAATTATCTATCAGTTATAATTTGGTTAGAGGGAAAATTTTGCAACGGCGGATCCAAGCCGGGTTAGTTGACCCATTGGGGGTTTGACTATCTCTGACATACCAATCCACCAACCCATGATCACATCAGCAGCTATATATGGCCCTGTTGTGGAGTTAATTATTGGCATTGTTTAAACAAATTTATGAACGATATTTTTCAATTTGTTTATCAAGTTAAAGACATATTTTGTAAAATGAATTTGTTGACCCTACTTTGATTTAAAAACAAATTTATTGAACCTGTTTTAATAAAAAGCATGATAAAAAATGAAATGACTTTGGGCAGGGGGTCAAGTGTAATGTTGACAGGTACTGAGCTAACAGTGACTATCACTTACACAGAAATGGAGTTTTTAACCAATTTTTTTGACAAAAATATTATAATTTCATAAATAAATTTAAGAGTGTGATAAATTTATTTAAAAAATACGATAAATTGGTAATTAACTCCCCTGTTTGTCAGTCTGTGATATTGTATAGCAGAAGTTTTAAAATTAATACTAATGGGTCCAGTCCTAGGGTCCAACCCACGTTATAAGTCCAATTTAAATAAAGAGTCTAATTTGAAGAGATCCAAGGTTCAGCTCAGAAGGGGTCCACATCCAGTCAAGATCATAAGGCTTCGATGAGCTACATCATAAAGGAAAGCAAGGTCCTCCTAAGAGCCTCTTCCACGCTGCTTGGAAAGAGTCAACCACCACGTCATCTTTTGACCGGATCTTATGGAGAGCGTCGTAACTACTTCATCCGGTGAAAAGATAACGCCTACTCCACCAGATCAGTCACTTAATTACTGATAAGTTGTCTCAATCTGTTAGGACGCGACTATAAATTGTAAGACCCGCCAACACTTAGGGGGCATGACACACAATTGAGCACATCTGCTATTACTCTCATCTCTCTTATTGCTTGTATCTCACTACTTTCCCTTCACTCCTCTAAGTAATAAAATATCCAGGCAACCCTAGCCCTTCATAGTGGACGTAGGTCACGTTGACCGAATCACTCTACATCTTTATCGCGCTTGTGCTTACACTCATTCTCTAATTAATTACTACATTTATTACTAATCACTTGACCTGTGGTGCGCAAAACTGATTTGTGTATCATCAATTTGATGATGTCTATGGGAAACGACAAAATTTTCACCTAATCACTTTTCTTGCTGTATTTATGGCGATCACCATCAGATCAATAAATCAGCCTGAAGATCATTTGCAAAGAAAGGAGGAGGTTGCTCCTTCACCAACCAATTATATTCCAAATGCATAGCGAATGCTAGAGACAATGCAACAACTCGTAGCTCAGAATCCGCAGATCCTACAACTAATGCTCGTTGGATAACAAGGAGGAGCACAACCCGATGCACCTCAAGCCAGAGAAGCTCCACGCCCTAGGCGTCAAGGAGCTCCCAACTTGGGCGCCCCATACAGGGGAGCCCACCATGAGGGACTTCCATCTCCTTCTCCAACTCCCTCTTCTCATTGTGGAGACCCTCATTTTCAAGAAGAAGCGGGCGAAAACCAAAACGTGGAGCATGAGAGCTATTTCCATGACAATTCCAAAGGA